CTTTAAAGGGTTTTATTTCATTTCATTTTTTTTATGGAAAATTGATCTATAAATTCTATCTTGAGAAATGATGATCCATTTAGTCCCGAGGATTTTCTTATAGGCCAATTAGTCTCATTGATTTTGAAAATGTAGATTTAATACATTATTTGAAAATTAGATTTACGGTTTTATCTTTATTTCTATTATGTTTCCTTTTCTTCTTCTTTTGTTCTTTTTTTTTTTTTTTTTTTTTTTTTTTGCACTAGAAAGGTAAGGTACACAATTTATGGGAATTAAATTTAGGATTAATTTTTATATGTGAATCTTTTTTTATTTGGAAAACATTTCAAAATGAATATAAAAATGACTTGAAATATGGGATCTTTCAAACATTCTAAAAGAATGTGGGATTTTTCCAGCATTTCAAAATGAGTGCAAAAACTTCTTAGTAAACTTTGGGTAAATTTATAATTTTAAACTATAATACTCCAACGTAACACTCAAATGTAACACTCTAATGTAACACATCAAAAAAAGAAAAAAAAATCCTTGGTATACTTTTCTCAAATGTAACACTCCAATGTAACACACAAAAAAATTCATAAGTGTTCCCAAACGTAACATTCTAATGTAGTACTCCAAAAATAATAATGTGGAATTCTTCAAACCATTTCAAAAAGAGTACAAAAATTCGTTAGTAAGCTTTAGGTAAATGTATAATTTTCAAATTGTGAGCATTACGTTTGAAAAAAATACATTAATATTTTTTAAGTATTTTTTTTAAAATGTTTTTTTTTTTTTTTTGTTTGTTTGTTTATTTTTATTTTATTTTATTTTATTTTTGTGTTCTGTTGTTGTGGAAGAGCATGGTGATGAGGAATAGATAATGAAAAAAAAAGAAAGGTGGGAAGAATAATAAGAATAATAAAAATAAAAAATGTATTAATGGGGAAAGCATAGGCGTTTGGTGGGTGGAATAAATGAAGGCAAATGATGGAGATGACAGATGTTAAAAAAAGTGGAAAATGTGATGATGGTGTTGGGTGGAAAAGATGTTAAAATATGTTAAAATGGAAAATATGTTAAAATAAGAATAGTGAATGGGTGGCCCGAGGAGGTTCAATGCATGTGCTGATGTATTTATTTATGTTATTTGTTGTTGGTGGGTATTGTTTATTTTATTTTATTGTTATTTTATTTTATTTGTTTTTGTTAAAGCTGCCGAGAGAGTGAGAGAAGGAAAGAGAGATGAAAATAGAGAACCATGGTTAGGCCAAAGGTTTTGCAGATCCATTCCTTGAAGTTGCTTCTGCTTTAAGGATTGGTTCCTCCGGGAGCTGAACTTCTGGAATATGTGGAGAAGACTTCTTGATGAATGTTGTTGCATTGGACCATAGGAACAAGGTTGCAAGCAACAATATCAATATATGGCACACTAGAGTAAGAAGGTGGTATTCGACCAATTCGAACAGGATCCAGATTGCAGTGGCCCCCACAAGGACACCAGCAGATATCTTCTTGTTCTTCCACAAGAATATGTCAGCAGGTTTGCCACCACCGAAGACCTTGTGAAGTGGTTTTTCTCTGCCGAACAATCGAAAAATCTTGGTCTTGACTGAAGACTTGGGATTCTTATCGGAATTGGATTCGAAGGACGATGATGAGGAATCGTCGCTGTGAAGCTTCTCAACGATCGTGTCCATGAACGACTCACCTTTGGAATCAGACTCGCTGTGCTCGGCCATTCCACAATGAGTTGTAACCAGCCCAGATTGTTGCAGACATGGTGTTCGACGAAATGTCCCAGAGGGATTTTGGGTTTGCTTCGGCGAGGTGGTGTTAGAGCTAATGCACAGCAGCCAAAGATGAGAATGAGGATCATTCCAACAAAAAGGACTAGGTTGAGGTCTCGGCGGGCGGCTAAGGTGAGGTTGCCGCCCGCCGGGGAAGCGAAAATACTAGGTTCTAAACCTGCTCTGATACCATGTAAAAAATTCAATGTATAAAGAGAAAAATACAGAGAGAATAAATGTATCTGATGATCTTATTATTGATTGATGTATTGATACATATATTACAAGATTGTTATCTATTACAATTAACAAGGATTCCTATTATATAGGAGTGTGTTTGGGAGTAGGTGAAGTGTGGTAGGTGGTAGTGGTAGGTGGAGAGTAGGTGAAGTGTGGTAGGTGATAGTGGGTGAATTTTAACAGTAACCTTCTCAACCATTGCTATGTTGCCAGAGAGATTTCTACTTCAATGCTCTCAATTTAGGGGGAGTGGGTTTTCCCTTTTTGAAGTCAAGGAGCTTCTTCATGGTTGGCGGGGGTTTGTGTGGGGAAGAACTTAGTTGCATGAAGCAGGGGTGGGGTGCAACTATAGGAGCAAGGGCATATAAAAGTTTCTCAGGTTGGGATCACCTATAGGAGCATTTATATATTTTATAAATTAAATATATTAGTATTTTTTAACAATTATTTTTACTGCTTAGTTGTAATGTGTTAAAATATGAATAAATATTAGAGATTAATGTCAACTCAAAAATATTTGAAAATGAATGTATAAATCTACATTGTTTTTCTTTTATAATTACAAGTAATTTTGGGAGACAATGTCTATGGTTTGATTTTGATTTCTGTTGAATTTGGTGGTGGCTAGTGTCTCAATCATGTTGAAGCTTGTGGTGGTTGGTGGTGATAGTTAGGCTAATAATGATGTTGATGTTATGGTTGTTGTGATGCTGCTTTTACAGCAATGGTAGTTATGAGTCTTTGCAGAGAAAGCAAAGTGAAGGATAAAGCTTAATGAGATAGGATTAGGTGTTGCGCAAAGTTTACGGTAATATCATGCCAACTTTTGACTGTAGATGAAAGTGTAAACATTCGTTCACTGTTAACAGAGTTTGACATAGGGAAGTTCAGTGTCATTTTAAAAACCTGAGGGGAGGTCTTCGTAATTGTCATAAACCTCATCGGAGGTCAGTGTAATTTACCCTTATATTTTTAATATGTAATGTAAGTATATATTGTTGGCAAGATGGTTGACGGATATTATTTTCTGCCGTTGTATATAGGTTTAAAAATTTAATGTAATATGTTAAATTAGAGGCCAAAGTTTTTTTACTTTCTGAGACTCAGATTTTATCCTTAGACAATAGTCAGATTTTCTGCTGTTGTATATTATCCAAAGTTTTTTTACTTTCCAAGACTCAGATTTTTTTAGATTTTGTCGTTAAATTAGAGGTCATCTTTAACTATTTCAAGTTTTTATTTTATTTATTTATTTTTTATGGTGGTGCTTGTCTAGAAAGAAAATATGTATTGTGATCTATATTTATTTTCTGATTTTTAAGGATAAAGCTTAATGAGATAGGATTAGGTGTTGCGCAAGGTTTATGGTAATATCATGCCAGCTTTTGACTGTAGATAAAAGTGTAAACATTCGTTCACTGTTAACAGAGTTTGACATAGGGAAGTTCAGTGTCATTTTAAAAACCTGAGGGGAGGTCTTCGTAATTGTCATAAACCTCATGGGAGGTTAGTGTAATTTACCCTTATATTTTTAATATATAATGTAAGTATATATTGTTGGCAAGATGGTTGACGGATATTATTTTCTGCCGTTGTATATAGGTTTAAAAATTTAATGTAATATGTTAAATTAGAGGCCAAAGTTTTTTTTCTTTCTGAGACTCAGATTTTATCCTTAAACAATAGTCAGATTTTCTGCTGTTGTATATTATCCAAAGTTTTTTTACTTTCCAAGACTCAGATTTTTTTAGATTTTATTGTTAAATTAGAGGTCATCTTTAACTATTTCAAGTTTTTATTTTATTTATTTATTTTTTATGGTGGTGCTTGTCTAGAAAGAAAATATGTATTGTGATCTATATTTATTTTCTGATTTTTACCCTCTGTTTGCAGAGGAAATGTGATCTCAAGCATCCCCCTGGTGATGAGATTTATCGAAGTGGTACCCTGTCAATGTTTGAGGTGTGCTCTCACATCCTAGAATTTTTGTTCTCCCACTATTTTTTGGACTTAGTTTGCCAGTTTCTTATTTAATGCCGTCAGGGTCACGATTGCACATTCCCTCATTGTTTGTTTTAGTAAATTTATTCAAGCTCCAAATTACATTGTTTAGTTTGATGAAACTTCAAAATTTTATTTTCAGTTGATCCTCTTTTTGTGTTGTATCTACAAATTATGTGGTCAGTTGATTACAATTGGATGAATGTGGTCTCTGTGGTTTGTTAGCTTTTCTGAGTTGTAATAATATTTTGAAACAGGTTGATGGCAAAAAGAACAAGGTTTATGGACAAAATCTTTGCTACTTGGCAAAATTGTTTCTTGATCACAAGACTCTCTATTATGACGTTGATCTATTTCTGTTTTATGTGCTATGTGAATGTGATGATCGGGGATGCCACATGGTTGGCTACTTTTCTAAGGTAATTGTTTATCTTTTGAGTTTTTCTTTGAAGCCCTACCTCAGTTATTGCTGTTCTGCTATATTTCTTTGTGAACTGAATTTTTCTAAGAGAATGTTTAATTTGGCATGATCTGTGAGATTATCTGATGTCTCAAACTATTTGGTGGCATGTGCCATGCAGTTGTTATATGTGGATGATTATTTTTTTTTTGAATCTGCTAGCTGAATAACAGCTTATATGTATATTTAGCTATTGATGTTAACTTGGCCTGTGTTAGTTCCTGGTATAAATGAGTGTCAATCTAAAATTGATCTATTACCTAGGCTTTTGCTAATTTGCATTGTAGTTCGCCAATTTGATTTTTGGTTTGTGGACTGGACCACTGAAGTCAAGTCCCGTGGTTTGTCATAGTGGACCTAAAATGGGAGTCATCTATACTGTTACAGAATCACACAAATGGGTATTGATATTGTATATATATTTACTGGTGTCACTCTAGGTTTAATAAGCGCATGCAAGATCATATTTCTGATGTTAGTCTGTTGACTAGAAGTGTATAACCATACAGACAAGTCTATTGTGAAGAACTTCTCATCAAACAAAAGTAGAAAGTGAAATAAAGGAGAATCAATGTTTTGGAGGTGTGGGGTTCTAAAATTCTGGGAGCAGTAGGCTAAGACAATGAAGGTATTCCAAATGCTGAATTAACAATGATCATATGTGTGAGAATATTAGGTTAGGTTTATATATATGGTAGTGTATATTGTGTATATATTATGAGGGATTGTGTATATATATGGCAATGTTTTCTATTCCTTTTTAGTCTTAAGGTTAGGATTACTATATAATCATATGTATTCTTTTTATTATAACACAATTAAATATACAAAATTCATTCAAAAAACTTGCATGGCATCAAAGCTAGTTTTCAAACCCTAGCAGCCATCGTGAAATCCTCTTTGGTTCTGATTTCTAGTTCGACTTTGTTCTTTGGACTTGATCGAACTCTCTAGTTATCATCAAGTCAAGCCTCTGCTTCGTTAGGCTCGCGAGACCTATCTGGTTCATCAAAGGTCATCTGATTCGAGAACCCAGTTCTCCTCTCTCTGGTTCTTTAGGTGCTTGACTCGTCTATTTCATCGCGAGGTTGTGACCCATCGTCGTAACCCGTCTAAGTCGCGAAGACCCTCATCGTAGCTCATCTGAGTCGAGAGGACTCTGGTCGTTTGTCTCTTCCGCTCTCGTGCCTCGCGCGAAGGTCTACTACCCCCTCTCTCTTTCTCTCTCTCACACACACACGCACATTCATCTCGCTGACGATAGCTGATCTCTTCTTCGACGAGGTTCGTCTCATCTGTCTGGTCGTCTTAGTTGACCTATCTGGTCGACCCATCTGTTCAACGTGGTCACTATGCTTCGATAGCTAATTTTGTCTCTCTGGTTCTTCTTCAGTCTCTCTTAGTTCGTGTATTTGATCTTTGGTTCACTAGCTTGCACTCTATTTTGGTTATATTTTGGGTTTATTACACTTAAACCCCTCAATTGTCTATTTATCATCCTTTGAACTCTAGTTTAACTATTTTTGCTCTATTTTGAATTTGTTACACTTGAACCCCTTCAGTTTTCTAGTTATTATGATGTCTTTGGCTTATGATGAATGTGCCTTTTGCCATCTGTGGGGCCATTGGAAGTACTATTATCCCAAGAAGAGACGTTTGCCTGCCTCGTCTTTTCAATAGTTTCAAAACCAATTCTGGGCTCCTCTTGCTGCTTATATTGCATTTGCTCCGGCTCCTGATCCTGACTTGGCCTTGAGTGCTCAAATTGGTTAGTTTCAGCATATACTGTATACCTCCCAACCATCCCCATCTACCTCCATTGTTTCCTCTCTTCATTCAGGCTTTCTGGGGTCTTCTTCAGGTATTTCTTCGTCTATCTGGATTTTTGACTCTGGTGCCTCTCATCATCATGACTCCCCATCTCTCTTTACTTTAAAATTGTACTCCCTCTCCCTTTCCTATTACTATCAATGCTGCTAATGGGTTTGGTATGTCTGTTATATCTGTTGGGTCTGTTTTACCGTCTGCTATGTTTGCTGTTTCTATTTCATCTGTTCTTTATGTTCCTCAGTTATTTGTCAGTTTATTATCCATCAGTCAGCTTGATGCCTCTGATTTTGATGTTATCTTTTCTTCTTCTATTTGTTTAGTGCAGGATAGGATATCCAAGCAGCAGATTGGGACTGGTTGTAGGGTTGGAGATCTCTATGTGGTGGAGAGCCTATATCTGCCTATGACTATCTCTCCGATTGCTTTTTCCTCTTTTTAGTTATATTTTTTGTCAAGTCCTTTCTATTTATGGCATTCCAGATTAGGATATTTGTCTGTTGACCGCTTACGGTCTGTAACCCAGTCAGATATATTGGGTAAAATTTCTCCTAATCAACTTACCAAGTGTCGGGGGTGTAAACTTGCCAAAATGACAGTTTTACCTTTCCGTAAAAGTACCTCTATATCTGATACACCGTTTTCTTTAGTTCATACTAATGTCTGGGGTCCTTCTCATTTTCTCACTAAAAAGGGCTCTGCATACTATGTTTCATTTGTTGATGACTGCACCCGTTACACTTGGGTTTATCTTATGACTCATAAGTCTGACTTCAACCAGATATGTTGTACTTTTCATTTTATGGTCACTACACAGTTTGGGTCTACTATTAAATTGTTGCAGTCTGACTTGGGTAGGGAATACTTTAAAACTGAGTTCCGTGAATATTTAGCCAATTTGGATACCTTTCACCAAACTTCCTGCATTGATACACCTGCCCAAAATGGTCGAGTTAAAGCGTAAACACCGTCATCTCCTTGAGACAGCTAGGTCTCTCTTTTTTCTGCCTTCGTTCTGGTTCTGTTTTGGGGTGAGGCAGTTCTTACTACTGCTTTTCTTCTCAATCGTATGCCTGCCCCTCTTCTTTTTGGTCGGTCTCCATGTGAGGCTTTGTTTTCTTAACTTCCTAATTACCCCCCCTTTTGTGTGTCTGGCTCTGCTTGTTTTGTCCTTTTGCCCTGTAAAGATAGAACCAAACTTAGTGCCCTGTCTGTCTTTTGTGTCTTTTTAGGTTACAGTCTCACTCAGAAAGGTTATCGTTGTTGTGACCTTATTTTCTGTCGCTTTTATATCTCCTGCCATCTTGCCTTTCTCAAATGTCTACCTTACTTTCAACTTCCTTCTCTCACAGTTCTAGTTTCCAAAGAGGATTTGGTTTATATTAATCCATTTTCTTCTGAGGTCTCTCCTGATGAGTACATTTTTGTTGTTCCCCATGAGCTTATTCCCTCCTCCTTGTACCGCCCTTCCTAATGAGTCCCTCTCCACTGACCCCCATGAGTTTGTTCCCTCCTCTCCTCCTCCTCCTGCTCCTGTTCTTTCACTTTCTCCTTCTCCTTCTCCTCCTCCTCCTCCTTCTCCTTCTCCTTCTCCTTCTCCTTCTCCGTCTTTTTCTGCTTCTTCTTCTCCTCTTCCTCCGGCATTAGTCTATTCTCGTCGCAAGGCTCTCCCTCCACTAGTTGTCTCTGCCTCTACTGTTGATCCTCTTGCTTTTGACGACTCTGATCTTGCTAACCGTAAGTATTTCCTTCGCATCCGTAAGCAGGTAGTTAAACTTGGTTTTGCTAAAACATGTTTTTGTCCTTCATGATGTACGTTTTTGTCTGTTATCCGCGCTTTTTCAGAATCTCAGTCTTAAAAGGAGGCCTCTTAGGATCCTCATTAGATTCAAGCTATGGAGGATGAGTTGATTGTTTTGCAAAAAATTAGTACTTGGGAGTTGGTTCCTTTGCTTGCTGGTAAGAATCTGGTTGGTTGTAAATGGGTTTACAAAGTCAAGACTCATTTTGATGGTTCTCTTGAGCATGACAAGGCTTGCCTAGTTGCTAATGGTTTTTCACAGGAGTATGGTATTGATTATGAGGAGACCTTCGCCCCTGTTGCCAAGATGACTATTGTCCGTACTTTGATATATGTCCCTGTTGTTCGTCATTGGCCTCTTTATCAGATGGTTGTTAAGAATGTTTTTTTTAATGGTCATCTTGTTGAGGAGGTTAACATGCATCCTCCCCTGGCCTTCACCATTCCTCTGGACAGGTTCGTTGTCTTCGGCATGCTCTGTATGGTTTGAAGCAATTTCCTCATGCTTAATATGATCTCTTTCAGACTGCTGTTACTGAGCTTGTGTTTCATCTTTCAACCTAGGACTTAGCTTTTTCTTTTTTCTTTTTTTTTTTGGAAAGCCAATAAGAAATTTTATTAAAGAAAGTTTGGACGACAAGAAGTCCTCATACAATGAACAAGAACCCAATCAGAATAAAAACAACTGTCAAAAAAAGAAAGAGAAAACAAGAAAATCCAAACACTAGGGGTTGCAAACAGCAAACCAATCCATAGAAATCAAGAAAAGTGGAACTCCTTTAAACGGAGGAGACACAAAAACCCAAAATGAAGCCAAAAAACCAGCCCTATCCCACAAAGAGTCTACAGCAGCCTCCTTTCCATCAAAGATCCTTGAATTCCTTTCCAGCCAAATAATCCAGAAAATAGCACAAACAATACAAGACCACAAGATTTTGGCTTTCTTAGAACCGCTGAACCCATCAAACTTAACAAGAAACATATGTGCACCGTGGAGGAGCCCATTTAACATCACACAAACCAAATAGACGCTGCCATAACTTCATAGCCACCGAACAATGAAGAAAGAGATGATCCGCTGAGTCCGAACTCCTCTTGCACATTACGCACCATTGAGGGCAAAGATAGTGATTAGGCTTTCTCCTTTGGAAAAAAGGTCATTGGTCATGACACCTCTATGAGCTAAGGATCACATGAAAAACTTCACTTTATGAGGAACACCCGCTTTCCAGATTTTCATATGAAGAGGAAACAAAGGAATGGAGGACTTATCAATGAGATTGTCAAACAAAGATTTATAAGAAAAGATCCCTGAAGAACTGATATTCCATACCCTTTTATCAGGAGATGAAACTAAGGAAACCCCATCAATCAATGTCAACAAAGATGCCAACTCAAGAGACTCCCTATCACTTAGATTCCTAAGGAAATTGAAATTCGAAGAGATTGGTGCCACATTAGAACATGCCACTGACGCAATTGACACATTTCGAATGTGAACCAATCGGTATAAAAGTGGAAAAGCTTTATCAAAAGATGTCACCCTCACTCAAACATCCTTCCAAAATCGAATATTGGCCCCATCACCCATTTTCATAGACACAAACAGAGACACAATGGGAAACAAACGAGAGATAGACTTCCACGGAGAACGACAATTGTCTCTGCTAACCACAATAGAATCTCTACCATTAGCCTGAATTCTGTACTTGCTTTTAATAATATAACACCATAAAGACTCGTTTTTCTCGGGAAATCTCCACAACCATTTGCTCAAGAGGGCAATGTTTCTAGCAACAATGTTCCCAATAGCAAGACGCCCTTTACGCCGAGGAAGAGAGACAACCTCCCAATTGACTAAGTGATTCCTTTTACCCTCATCACCCCCCTCTCACAGAAAATCTCTCAACAATTTCTCAATTTGCTTTGCAAAACGAACCAGTGTCTTGAAAAGGGACAAAAAATAAATAAGAATACAACTCAATACTGATTGTACCAAAGTGTATCTCCCACCCCGAGACAACAATGCTCGCTTCCAACCCTCCAATCTTTTCCTAATCTTAACAAGGGCTGGATTCCAAAAGGCCTCTGTTCTAGGATCGCCACCCAACACTGGTAGGACTTTGCTTTGTTTCTCCTCCGCACCTCTGCTGGTTTTGTTGTCTTATTATTGTATGTGGATGATATGATTATTACTGGCTCTGATTCTTCTGCTATCTTTGACATCAAGTAGAATCTCTTCCGCACCTTCGAAATGAAAGATTTAGGGCCATTGTAGTACTTTCTTGGTATTGAGGTTGGGGTGGCTTATTCTCTCAAGGGCTACTTTTTGTCTCGGGCCAAGTATGCTAATGAAGTTATTCACTGTGCTGGTCGTACTGACACTAAGATTGATGATACCCCCACTGAGCTTAATGTGAAACTTAAACACTTCTGATGGTGTTCCTCTGCCTGATCCTACTTTATATCGAGAGCTCGTGGGTTGCTTAGTTTATTTGGCGGCTACTTGCCCTAATTTTGCCTATGCTATTCATGTGGTTAGTTAGTTCGATTTTAATTCTCGTCTATGAAGCACGGACACGGGACACGACACGGACACGGGGATACGCAAATTTTAAAAAAATGGAGGACACGACACGTTGGGACACTTTTAATATATATAATTTTTTTATTTATTATATGTCTAAAATAAAAAAAAAATCATTAATTTTTATACGATTATAATAATAATAAAATTAATAAACATATTTAAAATTTTTTTTAATAAAAAATGAGTGTTTTTAAATAAAAATAATTTATTTTATGAATTTTAAGTTTAACAAAAATAAAGATAAAAAAAAGAAAAAAGAAAAAAGAAAAAAAAAGAGTGAAGGAAATAAAAGAGGAGAGAGAGAAACGGGTGAAATAGAAAAAGAGGGAAAAGTGAATCAGCAAAAGAGGGAAGTGAAATCAGAGAGAGAGAGAACAGGAGAAGGAGAAGGAGAAGTCGAAGAAGACGAAGGAGAAGAAGACGAAGAGGACGAGGCGAAAAAGAAGAGAGCAGACAAATACCTCAGCTTCTTCATTGATCTGAACAGGTTAGGCTCCTCTCTTCTCCTCCCTCTATCTCTTTCTCTGTCTCTGTCTGTCTCCTCTCATCTCCTCCCTCGATCTCTATCTTCTCTCCTCCCTTGAACTCTTTCTCTGTCTCCTCTTCTCCCTCGATCTCTTTCTCTCTTTCAGTTAGGGTTCTCTCTTTCTCTCTTTTAGTTAGGGCTTTGATCCACCTCAGGTGTGTCCGGAAAGTGTCACAGCGTGTCCATGGTGTCTCCGACTGCAAAAATTCAAAAAAAAAAAGAGGACACGTTAGAGAGAGTGTCGGACACGTGTCCACCGCGTGTCCGTGTCCATGGTGTCTCCGACTGCAAAAATTCAAAAAAAAAAGAGGACACGTTAGAGAGAGTGTTGGACACGTGTCCACCGCGTGTCCGACGCGTGTCCGTGTCCGTGTCTGACACTCGTACGCAGGCCCTGAGGACGTGTCGGTGCTTCATAGATTCTCGTTCTACATATTGGGTTGCTTTGGTTCGGATTCTTCACTATCTTCGTGGTACCATCTTTCAAGGATTGATGTTGTCCTTTACTTCTTTCTTGGCTTTAGTAGCCTATGCTGATAATGATTGGATTAGTGATGTTACAGATCCTAAGTCCACTTCTGGTTTCTATATGTTTCTTGGCAATTCCTTAATTTTTTGAAAAAGTAAGAAACAAACTGTTGTTGTCCGTTCTACTGCCGAAACTGAGTATCGTGCTATAGCTCATGCTATTGCTGAAATTGTTTGGCTTCGTTGGCTTCTCTCTTACTTAGGCGTCCCTTAGTCTTCTCCGACCTCCCTCTATTGTGATAACCGTAGTGCTATTCAGATTGCCCATAACACTGTCTTCCATGAGCGAACAAAGTACATTGAGATTGATTGTCACTTTGTTCGTCAGCATCTATAGTCTGGCTCTATCTTACTTCCTTTCATCTCTTCGGCTCTACAACTTGCAAACTTCTTTACCAAGATTCACATCGCTACTCGGTTTCAGTTTTTTCTTGGCAAACTCTCAGTATTTTCTACTAAAACACCTTGAGTTTGAGTGGGGGTGTGAGAATATTAGGTTACGTTTATATATATGGTAGTGTATATTGTTTATATATTCTGAGATATTGTGTATATATATGGTAGTGTTTTCTTTTCTTTTTTAGTCTTAGGGTTAGGATTACTAATAATCAGATGTATTCTTTGTATTATAACACAATTGAATATACAAATTCATTCAGAAAACTTACAATGTGGTGTTTTGGAAGAAGGGCCCTGCATGGAAAATATGTTCATGGATTGAAAGATTGGATCATGGCTCCATAAGAGAAATATAAACCCTGTCATTGCATCTAGATCATTTTATATTTTATATTTTTGTATTGGCATCTCCAAATACCAAGCAGATAGTGCCTGCCTTTAGTATTTATTGTCTTCAGAAGGGTCTAGTCCAGTGGGTAGTCCCAAATTGAGATAACAATGTTGATTCTGAATATATGTTCTGGAGCATTCTTTTGTTGTGTGTATGTGTAATAAACTTTGGGAAGGTATATTATTATCACTTGGTTAATTGTCAAATATTGGTTCCATGAGTTGTTAGTTTAGTTACTAGTTACGCTTATGATTATCAGGAAATGAAAAGTTACATTTAAAACAATGGGGTACACTAATTCAGTGGGTCTGTGGAGCCCATGTGAGGTAAAAGTTATACTTCAGCTATTGAACTGTGGCCTTCACAATACGAATTTGCTGTCTTACATTACATTTTATGTTTCTGTCTCTTCAGGAGCTGTTTCTTAGTGCAACTTACTCATGTAGCTTCGTTGAACTTCAGCTATCAAACTGTGGCCTTCACCATACGAATTTGTTGTCTTTCATTACATTTTATGTTTCTGTCTCTGAAGGAGCTGTTCTTAGTGCAACTTACTCATGTGGCTTAAATCATCCTAATATTAAAAAAAAAAAAAAAAAAAAAAAATCATCTTTGGTAGTACTGCCAGTGTTTCTGTTCTTCTATCCTTTCAATGCTACATCATACCTTTCCAATTTTTGTGGTCTGCCACCTTAAGCAACTACATATGCAGTTAACCTCTAATTCCTCCTTTCTATAAATATGAATGCTGTATCTGTTAATTAAGACATTTTGGGAACCTGAAGCTGTTTGTGACAATTTTTAAAATATCCCAAGGACTAATACCTCACTATCCTTCATCATCCAATGCAGGAAAAGCATTCAGAGGAGTCCTATAACTTGGCCTGCATTCTCACTCTTCCTCCCTACCAGAGGAAAGGCTATGGGAAGTTCCTAATCGCATTTTGTAAGCTCTCTTCCATTTAATTTCTCTCATCTTTTGTTTTTTAACCTTTAGTTTTTTACTTGTAAGTTGTAATATATAGAAATACAATTAGTGTCGGACACGTGTCTTCAATATTAAGTGCAGAATAAAATAAGACCCCCCATCCCCACCCACCAACCAATGATTCATGGACTTCCCTGGCGTGTTTTTGTTCACCGGAAGGAAGGATATGAGATATGTGTTCAACCCCATCACCCAATTAGATACCCGGATTCTAATACTCCCTCCGTCCCAAAATAATGGTCTATTTTGGGGAATCTAACTTTTTTTTATAGTACAATTATTATATTTTAAAAATATTAATTTTTCAAAATTGCCCTTTGATAGTACATTTTTTTGGGAATATCAATTGTCATAATTGTACTTTTTGTATTATTAATGAATTTAAAAGAAGGGCAAAATAGTAAATTCATATTATTTTATTCCTTGATTTTTGAAAATGGACTAATGTTTTAGGACAATGAAAAATGGAATAAAAACTAATATTTTGGGACGGAGGGAGTAGATTTTTACGATGTTTGAAGAAGAAACTCACATTTGATAGTAAAGAACTCAACTAAGCTAAATAATTGCACTCAATCTTGGAATTGAATTGCCAACACAAAAATGACCAAGGGGTACAAGACTCATATTTCTTCACAAGAAGGATATGGGTCCACTGACAGAATGGGTGCATTGCCAACTTGTGGTTATTGGGTGTTTGCTTACTCCCAAAATCTCACCATTCTGTTGGTCTGATGATTTGAGTAAGAATCTAGAGATCTCAGGACTTGTGAGGTCTTGTCTTAACTCTGCACTTTTTTTTTTTTTTGGGTTGTGGGGTGGGGTGGCTGCTCTAAAAATGGTTAATTATTTCCTGAAGAGTAAGTGTCATACTGATACAATTTTTCATTTGATATGGTACTGATCTGTCTTTATTATTGATTTTCAAGTGAAAATAATTGCTAATGTCATTTCAAATTTGAAACAGCTTATGAGCTTTCCAAGAAAGAAGGTAAAGTTGGCACGCCTGAAAGACCCCTTTCAGACCTGGGGCTACTAAGCTATAGAGGGTACTGGACCCGTGTTCTTTTGGATATTTTGAAAAAACACAAGGGCAACATATCTATTAAGGTATGTGTTGGAACATGTGCTAGAGTTATCCAAAGTTCAGAAGGTCAACTGCCTCCAAATCCTTCTTTCATTTTCCTAATCCCCTGCCCTTTTCTTCTAGATGCATTGTTACCCCTATGTTGTGTATGTTTGGGGTTGATAAGGTCATAGGATTAGACTATGTATCTTGCTCAATGCCGAATCCCACGTTTGGATGTAAATGTGGACTTCTGGATTGACAGTCCCTTCAGATTATGTTTCCTACATGGGGGACTATAGATTCCCGTGGGGGGAATGTGGAAATTTAGGGAATTAAGGGAGTTCCAGATTAGGGGGTTAAAAGACCAAAATACTTTCAAACTATGGTCATTAATATTCCTTCCTAACCCAGGGTCATTGCAAACGTGGGATATGATATGTAATCTTAAAGGATTTGTAATCTGAGGATTATTCTGATGGAATTCAGTCAGTGAACAAATATGGCCTTAGTTCTATGAAGCACGGATATGGACACGGGACATGGAAATTTTCAAAAAATGGGGACACGGACACGGCAGGGGACACAACAATTTTATTTTTTATTTTTATAAATATTTTTATTTTAATATACGTTAATTATTTTATTTATTTATTATATTTTTTAAATAATATGTTTCTGATAATTTTTTATTTTATTTTATATACATATATATATTTTTTATATTGATATGTATAAATAGTAAATAATATGTTATATGTATTTATAAAATGTATTTATAAAATAATATTATCTTATATATACTAATACATATATATATATATATATATAAAAGATAAGAAAGAGGGCGAGAGGGACAAAGACGCGACTTGCGAGCAAGACAGAGAGAAGACGAGAGACGCAAGCAAGAGAGAAGGTGAGAGAGAGAGAGATGCTTACGGTGGAAGTCGTGAAGTCGAAGGGATACAGATCGTGGACAACTGGATGTCAATGTGGCGATTGGATGTTCGATTGATTAACTGGATGTCTTCGATCGCGCGGCAGGTTTGTCTCTTCACTTTCTTCCTTCACGCTCTCTCTCCTCGCCGTGTCTCATGCCGTGTCCAGATCTGGACACGCGTGTCCTCTACAAAAAAAAACAATTAAATTAAAGGAACACGGCAGATGGCGTGTCCCGTACGTGTCCCTGTATCTGACACCGCCATGGCACTGATTTTGCTGTGTCCATGCTTCATAGCCTTAGTTTTTACAGGCATATAATCATCCTCTGGAGTGGAGCCATCACCACAAATATACAGAATATGACACTTCTGTTTCATGAAAGAAAGGCAACAATTATTGCAATCAGTGCTTTGATTGGTTATATTTGTTCGACTGGTCAAAGGACTGGTTGCTTTGGCAATAGTCACACCTTTCATGAAATCCTAAAGTTCAATCCTCTGTAGCATAGGATGAGAGTAATAGAACAATAATATGGACTTGTTGTAAATGCTACGTTTAAGAAAAGGAAATATCAAATGTTATGTGAAAAAAAATAAATGGTTGGATTGCCTTCATTTGATGTTGCATTAATATCTCCAATTTTTTTTTGTCCACCTTCTAAATTTTTTTTGGTTTCATCTTTGTCTCAACATTGTATATTCTATTGTGCGGGATAAAGGTATGCATTTCGCAAGAGTACCAAATGTAATATATTTTGTTGATTTTAGATGGAGGTATTGATGTTTGTCTTAAGCACACTGACACGGGACACAAATATGACGCGAGGGCACATCGACACAACAATTTTCAAAAAAAATTAAGACATGACAGCAAATAGATATATGTTTATATTTACATGATAATAATACTTATCTTGCATTTTTTACATTAGAAATATGTTTATATTTTATTATAGGGTTATTTACACGATGACCCCCTCAACTATTAGCGAATATCACTTTACCATCCCTCGTTGATGAACCCGCACATTTTGACCCTTTCAACTGTAAAAATGTATCACTTTTGACTCTTGTAGAACCCCTTCAGACCACCTCCGAAGGGGTGTGTTTGTACAATTTTCATAATTGAATGGATCAATATGTACCGGTTCATAGACGAGGGGGGTAGAGTGATATTCGCTAATAGTTGAGGGAGTCTTAATGTAATTTACCCATTATTATATGAAATAGTAAGAAATCATTTTATATATTTGAAAAATAACTGGAAAAAAAAATCCTATTATCTATTTCAGAAAGTCTTGTTCACAAACAAATTGAATGTTTTAAATGTTAGAATTCCTGAAATTAAAAGCCTAAAGAAAGAAGGATGTAATTAATCATTGGCCTCCAAGTTATTTTCTTCAAACTTGCAATGCATCTCATGTGTGTCTAAACGATGGACACATATATTCCCCAAGTATGTAATTCTATAAAAAAATAAAATAATAATAAGTCACATTTGGATATGTGCCTGAGACTTACGTATCATCTTCTTGGAAAAGTGTGCACGTCTTGGCTACCTATTAAGTAGATGTGTGTAAAAAATTCAACTTGGGATGGCAGTAGAAATATTTGTGTGAATGGTTACCCAATCAGAAAATATACGAATCCCATCACATCTGAACCATGTTTCTGTTTATTTTATTTTGGTTACTATCTTGTTTCCTTCAATGATTCGCTCTGCAGGAGCTTAGTGACATGACGGCCATCAAGGCTGAGGATATCTTGAGCACCCTTCAAGGCCTAGAACTGATCCAGTATCGAAAAGGGCAGCATGTCATTTGTGCAGATCCCAAGGTCTTGGATCGTCATTTGAAAGCTGCAGGCCGTGGTGGTCTTGAGGTAGATGTCTGCAAATTGATATGGACTCCTTATAAAGAGCAAAGTTGATACTTGATGGTTAAAAACCTTGGTATTTTACCGTCTTTCTTGTCTACCTTGAACAGTGGCTTAAAAACCTGGCTTGTATATACTAGAAGAAATTAGGGGAGAAAACAATGAGAACTTTAGATCTGTGGGCTATTGGCTGGACGATTCGATGTTTTTAAGTTGTACATGTATTAACAATAGCTGATCTGAAGATTTATGAAAGTGATGTGTTTACTGAACTTGGTACTCTCTGATTGCTATTTTATTGAGAATGTTAAAAGTCATCCAAAGTGCCAAGTCTTGTGATTTGCGCTTTGCTGTCATTGTTAGGAAGGTCTGAACATTGCTCTGGGTATGTTTATGACCATGGATTTCTTCATTCGCCATGGATTTCTTCATTCGATCATATGCGGAGTTGTTTGCATCATATGTTGGCTGATTATCTGATTGGTTGCTTTTATATTATATGTTGGCCATTTTGAAGGATGATTGCTTGCTTGTGATAACGAAACCTTGTGAACATCTATGAAATTTTGATATAAATGCATTGCTTTGTATAGAGACGACCCAGCACGAAGGATGATCGCTAGCTTGTGAATGCATGAGGTAAGATGTTCACCCGTGACATGGATGACAGGTTTTGTTTTTGAAGATGATTTCATAGACTACTGTGGGTGACTATTTTTAATTTATTAATATGAAAAAAGGTACAATTTGATGAAACACTTTCTATGATAAGCTCTGAAGGGGAAAGCTTTGATCTGATTTAGCATGGCTTTACTCCAATTAATAAGGGTCAGTTTGGTAACGTTTACGTTTTCAGTTTATATTTACAAAAATTTTATAAATTGATTTTTGTTTATTTTTAGAAAAACATAAATTAAAAACGTGTTTGGTAATTGATAAAATATTTAAAAATTTTAAAAAATATAAAAAAGAGTGAGAAATGGCAAGTGGTGGCGGAAGACGGTGGTGGAAAGTAGCGGCAGTGGATAGCGGGTGTGGGTAGCGGTGGGGTGGTGGGTGAGACTGGTGGCGGGTGGTGGGTGGTAGCCGAGTGAGTGGTGGTGGGTGTGGTGGCAGGTGGTGGCGGATGGCGGGGTGTGACGGGGGGTGGGGGTGGTCGGTGGGGTGGGTGGGAGGTGGCAGGGTCAGGTGTGGTGGTGTGGTGGTGGTGGGTGACGGTCGTAGCGATGGAGTGGGCGGGGTGTGGCGGCGGGTAGGGTGGTGTGGTGATGGTGGGTGGTGTGACTCGGTGTGTGGTGGTGTGGTGGGTGGCGGCGCAGATGGTGTGGCGGATGGCGGGTTGTGGTGGGTGATGAGCGGTAGCTGGGGGGGTTGTGGGTTGACGGTGGTGGGTGGTAGTAGTAGATGGTGGTGGTGGCAGGTGGGTGGCGGATGGCGGGTGGGTGGATGGTGGTGGTAGGTGGCGGGTGGGTGGTGAGTGGTGGTGGCAGGTGGTGGTGGGGGATGGATGGTGGTGGCGGAAGACGATGGTGGAAAATAGTGGTGGGTGGTGGATGGTGTTGGGTGGTAAAAAAAAAAAAAAACTAAAAACTCAAACAGAAATACATTTTTTGAGTTTATATTTTTTGGTCAAATTCATAAACTGAGACCACTAATTTATAAATCAAAAATTTACCAAACAAGTTTTTATTTGAGTTTTTTTAATTTTTGTAAATACAAATAGAAAATTAAAAATGTAAGTGTTACCAAATGACACCTAAGCATTTTGAATTGGGGCTTATTTGGTTGTATTTTTATTTTGTTTTCATTCTTCCAGAAACTTGAACTGCATTGATGATTTTGCAGTTTCCTTATTGGAATCTAAAAGTTGAGATAGATTTTTAAGCACAATACTAAAAAATTTAAGTTATTTTTATCTGTGAGTAATTATTGGATGTAACAGTGATATCACGTGATAGTATAACTGTTAAATAAGTATTTTTGATTTGTGATCAAAACTAAGAGACGAGGGTTAATCCATTTATATTTACTTTATTATTATTATTATTATTTTTAAAGAAATTTTGTTCCTCATGTAGCCATCTGGAAAGAAAAAATTCCTTTTCAGAACAATTGAATGACTTCCAAATAGCCTTAAACTAAAAAAATAAAAAACTTCCAAATGCAAATTACTAGCAAGTGAGAAGTCCCATCTGACAAGCCAAATATCATTCCTTCTGTTGTCCCACGGAGCTTTTACCAGAACGTTCGCTAGTCATTGAAACCTTTAGTCCCTTTGACCCCTAAAATTTATCATTATTAAGGGGGGGGGAAAAAGAGAGTGAAAATACTTGTAAACTACGAAATATAGACATTATTTTGGATAAATTTCAATTTTTATTCTCTAATTTTATTTAAATTTTACTTTAGTTCTTAGTATTTTAATTTTAAATTTTAAGTTTCTTCTACCTGTAATCTTTAATGTGATGCTACTTACAAAAAAAAATATTATTAAAATACTTATACTTTGATATAATTATAGCAATGAAAATTATAATGAATCCAACTTTTCTTATGATGACATATAGACAGAAGGGAAAATAACTTAACAGTGATCTCAAAAAAAATATAAATTTTATGTAATAATTTTTAAATGTTATTACTTAATGGTAATTTTTCTAGATGAAATGAATCCTTTATATTTTTTTAAAAAATAAAAATAAAAATAAATTCGTATGCTTGTATTGATTTTTCTGTTGTCCCAAGGAGCTTTTACTAGAACGTTCGCTAGTCATTGAAACCTTAGTCCCTTTGACCCCTAAAATTTATCATTATTAAAGGGGAAAAAAAATAAAAATAAGAGAGTGAAAATACTTGTAAACTACGAAATATAGACATTATTTTGGATAAATTTCAATTTTTATTCTCTAATTTTATTTAAATTTTACTTTAGTTCTTAGTATTTTAATTTTAAATTTTAAGTTTGTTCTACCTGTAATCTTTAATGTGATGCTACTTACAAAAAAAATTATTAAAATTGAACTTATACTTTGATATAATTATAGCAATGAAAATTATAATGAATCCAACTTTTCTTATGATGACATATAGACAGAAGGGAAAATAACTTAACAGTGATCTCAAAAAAAATATAAATTTTATGTAATAATTTTTAAATGTTATTACTTAATGGTAATTTTTCTAGATGAAATGAATCCTTTATATTTTTTTAAAAAATAAAAATAAAAATAAATTCGTATGCTTGTATTGATTTCCGTGAAATGATAGATTTACGACTTTGATTATGACCGTTAATTAGTGTGATGATGTGTCGGTCATACGAGTCTTCAAAATGAGAAAGTATTGGGTGGTTTTGTAGCATTGCTTCACGGCAAATCTATATAATAAGATAGAATGGTTTTTAAAAATATATAAAATATATGTGAGATATAGTTCATTTGAATGGTCTAGATCAATCCTAATCAATATCCAATGGTTGAGATGAATTTTCTTCCCGCCCAAACACTCTCTCTCTCCCTCTCCCACCTACCCACGTCTCCTTCCCCATTCCCTCTATCTCTCCCTCTCTCTGTTATTATTCTTCTTTCCTACCTTCCCTTTTGCACTCGCTCCCGACGCTGGCCTCTCTTCCCTTCTCTCTCCGTGACTTCAAGTTGCAACCCTCCCACTCGCAAGGTAGGGTTTCCGATTGTGAATCGCGAAACTGTGCTTCGATTGGGTCACCGAAGGCTAGGGTTTCCACCACCATAGCCACCGTCATCATCATCAACTTCCTCGAATTCTACATTGACGCCGCCGTCTTCTCTTTCTCTCTCTGCTTCGAACCCCCATGGGAGCTCTCTGGTACCTCTCTTCCTCTCTCTCTGGTACCTCTCTCTCTCAATTCAAGTGTAAGTAATTTCCTTATTGTTTCTTAGTCATTTGTTCTAATCATGTGTGATGATATGTATAGTTGCCCAACTCTAAAGGGGTCAGATTTTCTTGATTTTCTGTGTCTGTTTTTGAATTTCCTAATTCGCTGTTTTTGAATTTCCAAATTCAAACCCCAATGGCTTCAAGACCCATAGTTCAAGGTATTTAAATCTGTCTCTCCCATTCTCTCTGTGTGTCTGTTTTTGAATTTGGGTTCAAAGTATTTATATATGCCTTTTCCTTTATCTCCCTGTGTCTGTTTTTTAATTTGGCTTCAAGGTTCTGTTTTACATTGTCTCTTTATCTCTCTCCCTGTGTCTGTTTTTGAATTTGAGTTCAAGGCATTTTATTTGAATTTCATTCTCTTTGTTTACTCTCTTTGTTTGTGACCTGATGAATTTAGATTCAGTTTTGGAACTAAAATTTGACAATAGTAGATGTTGTGTGTGTGTGTGTGTCTTTGCCCAGGAATCTGTGATGTTATGTGATGCTGTGTGTGAGTTATGTGAATCTGTGATGTGTTCTCAACAATTTAATCAATCCATTGTGTTCTGTACTTTTTATGCAGCATTTACAAACACTTATTGCCTGAACTAATTAATAAAGAAACATGAGAAAAGTTAGAAGAATGTATATAATGCTCTTAGACATTTCAAAGTTTCCTTCTTAAATTAACTTCGTGAAATATCAATCATTCACTTTAACAAATGTCATAGGCTGGCTATATTTACCAAGAGATTTTGTGTTTTTCTTTTTTAATTGTAAAGATAGGTTGTTTAATCAACAGTTAGAACTCAAAAAATTCATTTTGGTTATGGCTCACACCATACACTCCATTTTATGAATGCATTTTTTTGATCTATAGTTTTTTATTAGAGTGTTACATTCAGAAAAAAAGAATACTGTGAGTGGGTTCTAAGTTAGGTAAAGTTTGGAGTAGGTGAGTTGGGTATTCAAAATTTGTGAAATAAATATTCAAAATATGTGAATTTATGGCACTGATTTCTTTCTATGTGCTTTCTTGCCTTCTACATACATATGTTACTAAAAATCCTACTTGCATCAGCTCATCATTTGGTCGTCATCAGCCTTATTTTACCAAGTCACAGCTATTTTGATCTGGGTTCAACCCCTTTTTTTTTCTTCCCTCTAAAGGATCATTCAACGTTGAACAACAATTTAATCAATCCATTGTGTTATGTACTTTTTATGCAGCGTTTACAGACCCTTATTGCCTGACTGGACAATTTTTTTAATTGATTTAATTTTATTAAATCCGATAATGAACTAATTAATAAAGAAACATGAGAAAAGTTGGAAGAATGTATATAATGCTCTTAGACATTTGAAAGTTTCCTTCTTAAATTTACTTCGTGAAACATTTCTACAAACCAAATTGATAATTCTTTTATATGAACTCATACAAAGCATTTTTTATAAAATATTGTAAGTTTATATACTTCTATTAAATTTTTTGTGTTAAAATTTATATAATTATATTGTAAGTTTATATCTATATAATATGGGAGAAAGGTTTTTGAAAATATGTCTAAAATGTATCAGAGATACATTTGGATGGCTCAGATGAATCCTAATAAACATCCATGGCTTTCATTCCCGCCCAAACGTGCTCGCTCTCTCTCTCTCCCTCTCCCACGTCTGCCCACGCTTCAGTACCACACACGTCTTTAACGCCCTTTCTACACCTTCTCTCTCACATTCTCATAGAAGAGACCTAAAAATGAAAATCATCATCATAATCATCATCTCCGAACTCGTCGCCATCGCCTCCGTCTTCGCTTCCTTCATCTACCTCCTCAGCTTCTTCACCCATGCTTTCTCACAACGCCTCCTTGCTCCTCCTCTGCCTTCGCTATCTGCCTCCGCTATTGTTGATTGCGCCGCCTCCCTTCTGCAAATCGTCAAATCAGTGGTTTCTGGTTAGATTCCTTCGTATTAGCTTGAATTAATACTCAGCGATTGTTATCGCGAGGCGTTGCAGAGGATCTCATGGAGGTCTCTCTGATCTCTCTAATTTCTGTTATTTGTAATTTTTATTTTTGTTCAAATGTTATGTTGTAGATAGAACATAAAATAAGATAGAACTATTTTATCAAATCATTTGAGTAGTGGTTTGTTGAATAATGGTTTGTTGGTGTTTGTTGTTGGAGATAGAACTGCTTTGCTGAATAGTGGTTTGTTGTTAGAGATAGAACTGTTATTTATGATGGCCTCTTATAGAGTTTCGTTTTAAAATAAAATGGATTTTATTAATCTTATTCGAAGGTATGAATTTGTTATTGATCTTAATCTTAATCTAAAAAGGAATGCATATGGACCTGGTGAGCAGTGGATTATTTATATTTCGTATGTTCTTTTCTTTTTCTTTTTCTTTTTTTAATTTTTTTATATGACATCCACATTTGCCAAATTCTGTAATATTGTTCTATTTTTCAGGGTATTCTAGAAGTTGCAGTGCCCGTGAATCAGGCAACTTCTGAGAGGGCTGAAACAGGCGCAGCAGCAGCTGCACCTGTCTCTGGAGCACCTTATTCATCTCCCTTGAATTTGTTTCCTCAAGTCTAATATTAGTTTAGATATTAGATAGAGAGTTTCAAGTGTATCTTTACCTTTTATATGTTTCTTATATTTTTTAAACTGAAATATCTCCAGGAAACAATTTCACATTCTGGTGTTGGTGGAGTTGGCTCCCTAGATTTCCTAAGAAACAACGAACAGGTTTGGTTCCTATTATATTATATGCTGTCATTCCTTGCTTTAAGAAGATTGTAATTATAGGAGTTTTGTTTGATCTTAAAGCTTTGCATTTGAATAACTGGATCTGCTTATAGTTAAATAGTTTTTTGTCCCATTAAAGTTTTTAATGAGATCAGATCTTCCCAACCATCAACCATGTACTTACTACGAGATGAAATCAAATTAGACCATCTTGATTTATACATATTTTCTATTGAAATTGAATTTATTTCTTATTCATTTTTTTTATATTGTTTGCTTTTCAGTTCCAAGCATTACGTTCTATGGTGCACACAAATCCACAGATTTTACAGGTTTCCTTTCTTATTCAGCTAATGTGCTACACTTTTTTTTTATTAATCTTAATCTTATTGAGGTATCATGCCTTCAAAATCTGTCACCATTAAAGAATTTTTTACTTTCCAACATTATTCTATTAGTATAATATGCCCATTTTGTGATTGAACCCCAAACCCCGTATTACTCTCTTCATCTTCTTTCTTCCTCCCTCTCTCTCCCAATCTTCATCAACAATGACGGAGCCGTTGCCCATTTTCCTTCTTTAGGAAAGCTGTGTACTTTGTCGTTGATTTTCCATGATTGATGTGCAACTTCACAACTTGCCAAGCAGAGTTTTTATTTTTGAAATTTGTGAAGGGCATACATACCATGCTGTGGTAAACACACTGGACAGATACATGCATATAAGCCTACATGAGTGAATTTTTATTTCTTGCACTATTTTTTATTTTCAATCTACCTTGCACTGGTGGATGAATGTTATGTATATGTTGTGTGTTTTTCTTACCATCAAATTGTGAGCTAGAGTTTTATGTTAGAACAATATTTTGTTTGTCTAAGTGCATATACGTACTGATTTCAAGCCCATTATCAGGCTACATTGCAAAGGCCTTCGAGTACTTTTCTTTAAATAAGCTTTTTATGCATGTTTGTATGTGCGTGTCCATTGGCATGTGTTTGTTTATTAATGTGGCCTAGCATTCTCTGACTCAAAGAATTGATTATAGTATAGCGTTTTGTTTGATAATTTTTTTGGATTCTGGTATTGACTTTTTGGAGTGAATTTTGCAGAAGGACTTTGATTAGCATTCATTAGGAGTTTTAGAGTAAGGTAGTAAAATCTTTCTATATCCCAGAAGTTGATTATAATACTACTTGGAACTTGAGAGCTGAGCAAAATCTCTTTTCGGTTTTTCCCTTTTTATTGGACTATGCTATTGTGTCTCGAACCTTTTATGCTTAGTTGAACCAATTTGCAAATGCATTTGATGGTCAATGAAACTTTGCTACAAAATCGCTTCATAGTGATTTGGTGGTTGCTGTGTTTAAGAAGCCGAAGAATAATAGAACATGCTTGAAAGAACAAAATTCAGAAAATGGGAGAAAATGTATGGTGTGCTTTATTTCTTTCTAAACATAATTTTTTTTTGGTTTTTAAATATGTTTTAGTTTTAGATTGCATAGAGTGACTTAAATTTGATAATATTTATATTGTTTGAAGATCACTTCCCATTTTATTGGTTAATACTTAATAGCTATGTTCGAGTTTATATTTCTAATCCTGTGTAGATGGTCAAATAATTTGTTTCCCAATTTAGTACCAAAGTTTTTGCACTATAAGCCTGCTGCATTGGGAGTTATGTGTTTGTGTCTTTCTTTGTTCTGTTTGTTCCTCAAATCCTTTCTGCATAATCAGTTTGAAATCATTTTAATTCTAATTTCGCATTCCATGATTAGACCATTCAATCCAATGTTCTTTAAGTACTGGACTCAATATTTTTGCTACATTTTTATCTCACAATTGTATGTAACTTTTGCCATTATATATTCAATGAGTTGGAATTATTTTTATTATTATTTTTTTTTTTGGGGGGGGGGGGTGTTGGTAAGTAATGCATTAGATTGTTATTGGAATGATTTGAATTCCAATGACTAAAGAGTGGTGGTTTTGTTCACTGATTAACTAAATCTTCTGCACATCTTGAATTCCAATGACTAGCGTAAGCCCGTGCCTAAAGGCACGATGTAAATAATTTTAAAATTAAAATGCAGTTATAATTTATACGTATTATGTTGAAATTTATAAAGTTTGTGTCATTTTTTGATAAAAATACTGAAAAAATATATTGAAATATTTTTCTTCTTAAAGAACTTATAACAATTTCAATATTATATTTTTTTAGTATCTTTATCAAAAAATGACACAAACTTTATAAATTTCAACATAATACGTATAAATTATAACTACATTTTAATCTTAAAATTATTTACCGTGCCTTTAGGCACGGGCATACGCTAGTTATTTAATGTTTCCGAAATACTACGCATATATATATTTCTTAATTAATTATTATTTAATTTTATATTCGTATAAAATATATGATAAATTTTTTAAACACTCTAACATTATTCAATTTTATTTGGAGCACCACGTGACTTTGTTCCTGGGACAAAATATATAGTTTTCATTCAGAATGCCTGATTAAGGGGTTGTTTAAGGGGTCTTAAATAATTATATTTTTTTGTCTTTTTGAACTAAAAAATTGAGATTGAAAATATGAATGTTTGGGTTAATTTTTTAACTTTTTATAAAAAAATGTGTAATAAAAAATTGTAAAAATTGATTTGTAATAAAAAATTGGGCAAATTACATATACACCCCTCGAGGTTTGGCTAAATTACAGATACCCCTGAGGTTTGAGAAATTACGAATTCCCCCCTGAATGCTATATTTACATAAGAAATTAGGGGGTAATTTGTTATGAAATATAAACCTCAGGGGGTAAATTGTTATGAAAATACAAACCTCAGGGGGCGGGATGTAATTTTCGAAACCTCAGGGGTATCTGTAATTTAACCAAACCTCGAGGGGTGTATATGTAATTTGCCCTAAAAAATTTGAATTGGGAGTTGTGCAACCGTAATTGTTGACTTTTGGTGAATAGTGTTAACTTTTTAACTTTTTGAATAACTTTTTGACTTTTTAACTTTTTTACAAGTTCTCAAACTTTACCTAAATTAAAAAAAAAAATAAAATAAAAAATCCCACAGTTTGGAGATGAAAAATGAAAAAAACTGTAGAATATAAAAAAACCATTTACAGCAGATATCATTGGCTGAAAGAGGTAAATATTACCTCAAATTGGAGCCTCACTCCCAATCCCATCCCATCAGATCAGATCAGATCACACATCAATAAATAAATAAACAATATATCACACAGTTGTTGGTTGCAAATAATGGTTGTCGTCGTTGTTGTTGTTGTTGTTATTGGGTATATGAATTTGTTGAAGCTGTAAATTCTTCAATGCAGCCCCACCAGACCTTCTCTTCCACAGATTCACCCCATCTCCGCCGTCCACCGCCTGCTGTTGCACCCTCTTCACCACCGGCAACGGAGGATCCAAGGCGGCGATGTTCACCGGCGCCGGTCCATAATCATTATCATCACTTGACTTGATGTGGCCTCTTCCTCTAGTGGCGGCGGCTGTGGTTGTGGTGGTGGTGGTGAGATTTCTTCCGGAAAAGAGTCTTTTGAGCTTGTGATATTTGATGTTGGTGGTGGTGGTGGTGAAGCGGTATGAAGTAGGGAGGCCGATGACTCGGCTGTTGTTTCGGTTGACTTGACCCATGCAACTGACTCTAGGGGATGAAGGGTCGTTGGATTTAGAGGAGGAAGAGAGGTGGAGGTGGTGGTGGTAGTGATGTTGGCACTTGGGAAGGTGTACATCTTTGATGGAGGTGAATCTTGATCTTGAACACAACATTGGTAAGTAAGTGCTTCTCTCATGTAGGTGCTGCTGCTGCTGCTGATTGTATCCATTACCCATTTCTTCTCTTGATCTTGATCTTATCTTATACTATACATATGTATGTATGTATGTATATCACAAGAAGAGAGAGAGAGAGAGAGAGAGAGAAGGAGGGAGTGGCGGGTGAGAAGGTTAATGAGAAAAGAAGAAGAGAAAGGGGTGTTTAGTTGAGATGAGATGAGAGAGAATTTGTCAAAAGTCTGACAAACTCATTGTTGATGTTCTAATCAAAGCGCGGGGAGAGAGAGACAGAAAATTATTCAATATCCTCATAATAATAATAATAATATGTATTTCTATTTTTTAATCAGCCTCCGTTTGGGAAGTGGGTTGGCTTTTTGGCTTTTTTGGCTATTTTAGCCTGGGCTAAAAAGCTTGGTTTGGGAAGGGCTTTTTGGCTTTAAACCCAGCAAAATTGGACAAGACGCTTACTAGGGGTGGCGTAAAAACCATTGGGCCTGACTGTTTGATTTTCTTATGTGTGAGAAACATGACTGTGAACTTGTTGAATGAAGTGCTTATGTTAGTTGGAGATATATATTTATTTGGTCATGCTATGGTTGTATGTTTTCACCTGCATTCGCATCAAAAGATCAGAACTGGGTAGAGCCCGAGCTCGTTCTTTTTTGCATTTCTTTTTATATTCTTCTCATGCTTCTTTAACTGCTGTTCGCTCTTCTGGCGACCCTGCATCGGGGTTAAACTCCCAAATTTGTCTACCAACATAATTGTTGTACTAAACAAGTATGGTCCACGACCTTCTGCAATCTTGAGCTTCCACATTTTCTCGTTTCTTCAAGTGCTCAACTCCTTTTTTAGGCCTCTGCATTTATGACAATTTCGAAGGTACTTTGTAAAATTTTATTTTTCATACTTTCGAATCATATTATTTTTAGAGCTTTTCACAAATGATCACATACAATGTTTAATTAGCTCTGTTCTATAAGAATTTATAAAATAAAAATATTTATTAGAATTTATATGGTAGATTTCAATATTCACAATTTAAATTTTAGGCACCCTGTTCTGAAAGGTAGGTCTTTGGATACAGATTATACAGATGTGAATTTAGCAATTTTCTTTATGAATTACAGGATTCTATTATTTGACATTGCAAAAAACTTTCAGTAGCACAAAAATATAGGGAGAATTACAGATAAATGATAGTTTGAGAAAATTATTATAGATTCGGAAAAAAAAAATTATATTTTTAATTATTAATATTTATAAAATTTATTACTGATTTGAAATTTTTCCAAGAAGAAAATACAATAATAGTTTTTTTGCCGAAAATTTTATTTTCAATAATTTATTAAACAGTAATGATAGAGTGTTAGAGTTGAAGTTCTAATGCCAACTTTAATGATGTAGCAATACATAAAAAAGATTACAAAATCACATGTCAAAATATTAAATCATGAAATTGGGTCCACCTCTAGAACTCCTCATTTAGAGGTCGCAAACATTTTTATCTATTAAATAATGGATTAATTACACCTCTTAATTATTACACTTTATTCTCTAATTTATTATTTATGTACAATGTACTTATTGACCCATTTAATTATAAAAATTATATAAATAATATATTTTTATAATTAAAGAGATCAAAATATACGAATTTATAAATAAAAAAGAGAAAGTGTTATTTGTTAATAATAGAAGGTGGTGCACCGAGTAACATGCTTGTTTGACATACATTCAGGCCATGCTTGTTTGGCTAGGGATTGAATTAATAGTGATGGAGGATTACGTAAAAAAAAAAGAATAAAGATTGGTAGCTCGAAGGATTTTGCCCCCGAATCCCCCTGGGGATTCGAGCTACGTAGCTTTCGAGCTACGTAGCATGACTCAAAAAAAAAAATGTTTAGTTACGGAAGGTTGCGGTAGGATTAACACTTTAACATCATTTTTTATTCACAAGATTAATAGTGAAATATTAATAATTTTGTCAAATTAGTATAGTATTCACTATTTAATTGGATTAATAAAATAAATTATCCATTGGATTAATAATCTCATCCTTACTCCATTACTAATAATCTCATCCCATTACTACCATGGGCACACTTATACCCTTCGTTTGAAGAGTGGGTTGACTTTTTAATTTTTTAACTATTTAATTTGAGTTAAAAACTTTCGCTTGAGATGAACTTTTTGGCCTTTTTGAATTTTGTGAGAGAAAAAGTAAAATGATTATGGTTTGAATATAACATGTTCTTTTGGGAACATACTAAAAAGTTTTTTGGCTTTTCAACTTTTTTAGCCAAAAAAATCAAAATTTTTACCCAAAACAACCCGGCTTTTTGCCAAAAAAGTCACAAAAAAAGTTAAAAATTCAAAAAATCAACTTTTTACCAACTTTCTAAAACACCAATCTTATTTAATTTTTTAATCTATTATTATTATTATTATTATTTTGACTAAAATAGCCTCAATACCCATAATAATTGTGTGCAGTGTTGCTCTGATATCTATCATTCAGTGAAAAGTGGGGTAAATATTTATTACGGCTACATTTGTTTGGAGAGGATCAATATTACGGTGAAATTGAGTTATGAGATTATTAGTATAGTGATATTAAATTAGAGATGTAAGATAAAAAAAATTATTTGTATATCACCGGATTAATAATACTATAGATAGTATTAATATAAAATTAATATTTTTTAATTTTTAGTATTTTTTTAATATTATAATTAATTCCATTTAATCTAGAGACACTTAAAAAATATAAATTTTTCATAAAAATCATTTTAAAATTCACTAAATATTTTTAAAAAAAATCATTTTTTTAGTATTTATTAAAAAATTAAATATTTCTTTCACAAATAAATTATTATTTTAATCCATCTTATTTAATAAACTTACCAATGCAACCTTTGAAAAAGATAAATATATATATGTTTATATCAAAACTATATGAAATTTCATAAATACCCTTCTTCTACTCTTCTATTTGATGTAGGCTAAGGGGCATAATAGTCCTTCAACCATTAATCCCATCACTAGATTTCTATTCCCATGTGTTTTCCTTTCATGCTAGTCCAACCGGGGGGGATTGTAGTCATATTTATTTGGACGGACTAGATAAGGGGAATTGTAATTCATCATACTATTAATTTAGAATACATAATCCTCGGACTATTTGGTTGAAAATTATGTGTATCATATGTTTGTTTTCTCATGGGAATATCTAAAAATGACTATCTTATTGATTCAATGTTTGATTGAAATATTATGAAAAAAGAAAAATGCTCAATAGACTATTTTACCTTTTTTAATTGTTTACTAAGTAGCTCAAATTTTGTGGCTCAAAAGTGGCTCAAATGGCCAAAACGACGTCGTTTTGAGTACAGAACAACATAAAAATGGCCAAAACGACGTCGATTTGGCCATTTGAGCCACTTTTGAGCCACAAAATTTGAGCTACGAGACATTTTCCAATAAAAATACTAAACTTATATTTAATATTTTAAAATTTTTTTTTTAGGTGAGGGTTGGTTGTGCCTTTTTTGACTGGATTTTCAGGAGACTGATTCTGATATGATGAAATTAAAAAATTTGTGTATTTGGTAATAGATTAGGGTTTGAAGCTTGAAGGGTTCTCTAATTTGGAATTGATATTCGGTGGCTTATCTATTAATTGGTTTGAAGAGTTTTTTTCTATTTCAATGGTGAAGGTGTTTTTCAATTTCAATGAAGGTGCTCAGTGGCATTCGATCTGCTTGAATCTAGATTTTTTTTTTTTGTCTCCATCAAAATCATGTGGCTTTGATGGAGTCATCTTAGTCCTTGTTTTCATTAGTGAGACAATTGTCGCACTCTAGACGATCACTTTAAAGGACCACTTCACAGGATCACTCTAAAGGGTCCGAACGCCCCTTAAGATACAATAGTCCAACATATGTATGATTCATAGTCCGGTGAAACTTCTAATCCGGCCTATAAATTTTCAATCAAACAATAAACTCCATAGTGAATTAGACATGAAGTCCAATCACTCCCTCCAATCCTTCCAAACAAAGTGTTAATCCCACCACAATCAAACACTCTCTCTATGTGGTCATCCTTTACTATTAATTCAATCTCCTCTCTCATAGAGTCAAATAAGCATGGCTTAAAGTTAAGAATCTTTTTAAGGTGCAACTTTTGCTATTTTTTTTACACAAAAATTTGCACTCTATATATTTGTAATTGTTTTTTTTATATTATCATCATCATTATTATTATTATTAATTTATCATGTGTGCTTACTTATAATTTCTCCACAATTCAATGGTCATGATTTTATATTAGTTATCAAATGGCTCATATTTTTTTTTTTAATACTACTATTTTCATTAACGACGGGGGAGGGACCACTGTCTTGTAGTCTTATGCCTGCACATGCATGGAAGCTACATGTTGTCTGCCTTGTGGTAGGCAAATACCTTTTCATAAAAGGGTTTCCTTTGTATATTTGTACACATATTTTATGTATTTATGGGTTTTATTTACACAAGAGTATGTGACTAATATTGTTGGGTAAATACATATTTGGATAAATGTACACTAGGACAATCAACGTGTATATAACATCAATACGATACGAGTATAACGAGTATAATGATATATAAATAGAATTTTTATACAGTAATATTGTTGTAAATATAAATTATCTTTATAAGTATTTGTTTTAAAATGAAAGATTTTTGCTATACCACGTGATATTGTAAATATAAGTCATCTTCATGACTGTTTTGTTTTAAAATGAAAGATTTTTGTTTGTATATCATTACTTATGACAAGAGAAGTATTTAAAAAAAAAATAAAAGTAATAAAAGATTGGAGACCAAATACTTGGGACCGAAATGAAACAAAACACATATTTTGAATTTTGGTACAACAAATTAAAAATTTTGAAGACTATATGTGTACTTGGTCATTTCAATTTGTTGAGGCCTTACGTAAATTTCTTAAACTACCACTTCTCTTGTTATTGATTTTGAGTTAACACCATAGACTGAAGTGCAACAAATTGATTACTTTGAGACCAAAGTGCAAAAATAAAAAAATTAAGACATATCACACATTTGGAGAATCATTAATGTAATTAACCCTATCAAAGTATTGAGAGGGAGTTTGTGCCGAACAATGGGCCGAACTACACTAGTAGGGATTCTGGTGTTGCGCCGTGTAAGTTGAGCCTGGGCGCATTGTGGGGCCGAGTTAGGTCCGTACTGGATATGGT